ATTTCTGGGATACCGCAGTCCCATGTGGATCAGAAAATAGCCACAATGTAGTACAACTAAATCCTGATGAAAATAAATATTATCTTCTCACTCCATACCCCACATTAATGCAACCACTCAAAAAATTTTCACCAGAAAGCATTCGCGCTATTGCCCGAAACCCAAATATAGACTTACAATCAATAGGAATCTATTCAAAATCAGATATTCAACATCACATTAGAACACAACAATTCCAAGAATTATTAACACAAATGGACACTATACAAAGGCAATCAATTGACCAAAATCTACGCAAACTTGCAGAAACCGCAGGATTTGCCGATATCAACACACAAGACTATAGCGGATATTTTAAAGACATTAAAGATTATATATATCTAAACGGCGAAAAATACCGTCCCCAAGATATATCACCAATCAACATTTTTAGTTTTGTTACACTCAAGAATGAAATCCTTGATTTTCTAGGATGGCCCTACTACATCTTAGAAAAATTAACTATTTTATACGCAATGTTTAACTTTATTGGATTTCTTTTCTCACTTTTAAAAGGAATCTACAACACATGTGCTATACACACACAAGTAAACAGACAAGCAAGCGTAGCACGCATACTCTTTGCAGGATTTTTCGGAATTTTTTCCACATCTATAAACAAAATTCTTTTAGACGCACAAATAAAAGAATATAACACAAAAATAGCAACACGACAAAATACATACGACGAAGAACATAACAATGTAGACACACAGCCAACGGCACCACAATTACCACCCCTACCACATAACCATCCACTATCCCTAGTCCCACGAAATTTTCGAAATTTAGCAATCACACATAATCCAAATTTTCGACTCAATACATCGCAAAGTCCCATCCAACATATAATGACACATCAATCACAAGATGATAATACTTATGAACAAATTATTGAACAGCCCCATACCACCGCTTTTCAGTCTCAAAATAATAATTTTTTTTAGCCCACGATGAGCCGCCAACTTGGATCACTACACCGATCAAATTCCCATCCAACCAATCTTACCTCTCCAATCCCAATCATACCACTTTTCGCTTTTCCGCCACCCGATTTTCCATCTAGCAATGTAACATCAGGCATGAATTCCGACACCAACTCACATATTTCAGTTTTATACTCCATCTCACAGCTAAATAACCCGAATATTGAAACCCCCGATGAATTTGCCGACTCAGAACCATCCCCATCCAATAATTTTCATAACCCTTCTAATTTTTCTCAACCTCCTTTTCAACCCATATTGCCCAATAACCCTGACCCAATCACTTCCACACCCTCTTATGCTTCCCAAGTTACCCCAACCTACTCCTCATACCATTCTGACCAATCATCTCATTCTCCAGACACACCCCGAATCTCCCCAGAGCTAGATAATTTTATTACCCTCCAACAACAACCCTACCACCTTAACACCCCGACCATAAACCAAATCTCCTCCACTACACATTCATCCAACCCCCCTACACCCTCTTCAAATTATACTGAATCATTAACACCATCATCCACATCCACTATATCTTCACTAAACACTAATAGAGCTTACCGCACTTTTAAAAGAAAATTCCCCAACCATCCTTTCCCAGCAAAACCAGGAACAGCCCGTGAATACATCAACCACCCCCAGCATACTAACACTAAAGAATTTTTAGCTATCACTTTACCCTCATTTCCACAATACACCTTAAACACCCCTCACGACGCTAACGAAACACGCAACTTTGTAGATGAATACGTTTTAATGCCCACTCTCTCTTGGACCTCATACTATCATTTCACTAACCCTCTTTGCTTACCTTTATCCAGCACTTCCATCGATATAGATCGAAATAAAGACATGCTATATCGACTAACTACACCACTAACCGCTAGACAGTTTACTTACGTTGGATATAAAAAATCACTAAAAATACACACTGCACCAAGAGCTAATGAATATACACTAGAATACTACGATCACAACATCATCAGAGCTAACCAAGATCAATTCTTAGACGACGATCGCTTCGCTAATCCACAAATCACCGAGAAATTTTTCATCAAGACACCATATATATTTACACTAAACATCTTCGACCGAAAGTTTGATCACATTATTTCAGAAGCACTAACAGACACACAAGCATACGAAAGTTTTAAAGAACGCTTCCAAATATTTTCACTAACCTTTCATTTCCTTGCACCACACGAAAGAGATTTGCACTGCTCACATGATATTATGTTGCGCACTAAACAAACACATACATACAGTTACTATCGTTTCATCCAAAATCACTTTGACCTACACACACCCTCTAGACAACCACACCATCGTTTTCAATTCATCAATTCAAAATACACTTCACCATATTTCCTAAATTTCACATATTGTATTAAAGACACTAACCTTCATGGTATTCTTCGTAATTACGACCCCATAACCCAAATGTACATCTTCTGTCCCATCATCAAGACCTTCAACTCCGACGAAAACCGACCCTTCCTTATCCCGCACGAGTTTATACAACCTATAGAAATCCCAATTTTAGAATTCATCCACAACACTAAATTTAATCACAAATTATATAACTTAATCCAAAACACACCTTATGAGTTTGCAGTAGGCACTGAAGAACTAACCACCATTAAGGCACTTCAATTGCTTTGGCCACTACTTCAGACTAAAAATATCATCCGCATTCTAGCTAAACTACTAACAACTTCAGAACTAATTCACGACATCTTCCCCCACGGTTTTTTCCCCGACGACTAACAGGTAAGTATGAATTAAGTAAATATTACTAACTAATTACAGTATTAAAAACTCACCATTCTTTATTCATGTTTTCCTTAGATTTTTAGCTTTCATCCGACAATCACCTACAAAAACCACAAAAGAAACAATAAAAATCACAATTTTCATCAAACAATTTTAAACTTCTATTAATCTCTTACACTTATAAATCTCTAAATTTAATATCAATGCAGTAAATTCATTTATAATATTTCCCCCCAAAGCAGTAAATCTAATTATGATGAAAATTTGTATCTTAATATTCCCCCATGACTAGCAGTAAATTTCCAAATTCTATGTAGTAAATTAAATAAATGCAAATGCAGTACTAACCTTTTGATATTTTCATTCATTCGCACAGAAATTCTATCCACACTCGCACAGCTCGCCCACGAAGAATTGTTTAAAATAATGAATTTCAGTTTCAAGTTTTCACACTCAACAACTCTAACATAAAATAACATGTTTCAAATTTTCCTTTAACCCGGTTGGAAAGGAATCATATACTAAACAAAACTAACCAACGCAGCTTACTAAATACCACAAATCATAGAATAACAGCATGACTTAGAAAAGGAAACCAACGGTACCCAAACCGGATTAACCCAGTTTAAAACTGGATAATTTATTCTTTTGAAGACTATTACAAAGTCTTAGAAAGAAATAATAAAACACAAAAAAGTCGAAAGACAAACCCATACAACAAACAATTTGATTTTTGGAAAAAGTACATAACCAACAAGACATAAGTAAGACCACAACAAACCCAACATAAAACGTTGTCACATAACAAGACCCCTCACAAAAACCGCATGAAATCATACTCCCACCCCTGGCCTAACCCACCAGGAAGGACGTCCTGAGCATGCTCTATAGCCGGCCTAACCCACTGCGCTACATCCACGCTTTGTGACCACACCTCTATTTTTAATAAGAGCTACTCAAGGGTGAGTAACTCTTCAAAATAACCGAACTAAAACAAAAAGCTTTTGTGAAAACAACTAACTAAAATCATTATTAAAAAATATTAAACTAATAAAAGTTTTATAAAATGTAAAATCACATGATGCAATACATAGATCAGAATACAACACCAAGGACGAACATCAAAAGACAAGACGATCCCACCACACTCGAGAGAGAATGACCAACTACAATCGATATGCCGCTCACAATCACAACTCAAAGGATTTAGAGTACGACTTGACTTCGCAGAAAAGGACTTCATTGAACTAGACCAATGACCACCTCGATGTTCAAGTATACGTACAGATCCGAGTAACCAGGCATCCCCTCCACGCACAATCTCCACGCCATTCCCAAGCTAGATCAGACACAAAAGAAGTTCTCCACGCAGAACAGAAAAACCTGACATAGCCAACCATTCAGAAATCAGATTTGAGTTTGTTGCGAAGACTTAGTCGTTGTCACTAGAAGACACAACGTCTTATGTCTCTAACTCCAGCTTCCTGAAACTTCTTTAACAAAGAAGAAACGGAAGAAAATTATGATGTTCGCCAAAAACAAACGTCCATCATCCATCCTTCGAATTGCAGAAGAACTATTCTAAAAAACTCTGTAAAACCCGGATGGGTGGAACCTGATCTAAACTATATTTTATGATTGGAAAAATTAAATGTTTTACCAATGTAAAGTATTTAATATTAACCAATCATGATCCATCTAACTAACAACCCACTTATTTGTAAGTGCTGAAGTTACTTGTAATTTCAGCACCAGAGAGATTTGAATTTAACTTAGAAATTAGTTGCACTCTCCCGAGTACTTCAGCAGCCGCAATAAACCAGTATACCCTAGATCTATTGAGCCTAGCAGAGACTAGTTAAACAACCTGAGACTAGATAGTATAAGAGTAAGATTAGGATCGGTATTAGACTAAGAAGTTGCACGAATCTATCCGGCCGAAAATAAGATAGCGTGACGAGCAGACGGTGTACCCTATCCGAAATTACTCTATGAGTTATACATACCAGCTCTAACTCAATGGTCAGGATTATTATGGTACAGGAATGACCTAAATTTTCGGCCGACCTTCAAACCTATTTGTTCAGAACACTATTTCAAATACAAGTTGTTTAAATGTCTGTTTCAGCGATGATTTAGATCAAATATTTATTTCAACCCGATGACTATCGACTCAAATTTAATTATTGTAAGCATATTGGCATTAAACTGTTATTATTTAGCAAGTTATCCAATTGTATTACATTAAAACATGTCGATAGCGAGTTCATATGACGAAGAGACGGATAGCAATAGTTCTCACCAAAAAGTGTCAATTTCAGTTGATGGAAAAGTGATAACGCGTCGCAGGGTCATACTTTCACATTCAATTTTCACATTCATCAATTTTTTGAACTTCACAGACAGGTAAGAATTCCAGCGGTGGGGATGGGTTTTGATTTTTGTCTTCGGATTTTCAAAGTGATAAATAAAGCATAGCAGGGCATCTAAAGGTTCCGACAGCCCTGTAGCAAGTCGTGAATGTTCCGACTGTCCTCTGTTAATAATTGCACTTTTTTCATCAGAATCTTCTCACAAATCAATATCTAAAAAAGAAAAAAGTTTTCAATTTTTTCGTTCATTTCCAATTTTTTTTTCTCCAATGTAAAGTCCCATAAACTATGTTAAGTACAAAATACAACGTTATTATAGGAGCCAATGGCTTCCCTAAATTCAATTTTGAAGGTTTTCGCCGCTTAAGGGTTGACGCCATAGAAGAAAAATGTTTATCATACAGTTTCATATATGGAGGTCATATATGGAGGAAAAAATGCTTATCATGCAAAATTCATACAAAAAATTAAAATGTTTTAAGATATTTTATTGATTATTGTTGGTCTATTTGCCTCTTTTGAAATTTTCTGGTCATTAAAAATGTGATCTAAAATTTTTGGTAGAAAAAAAGCTTATCATATAATTTTTCATGTAAAAAAAGCATAATATAATAATTTTGTCACAGATTTTTTTTTCAAAAATCCCCAAAAAACGTGTCTGGGTAACTTTAAATAGGTATATATAATTATTATAGATTTATAGAGGTTTTCAATTTTGGTCAGAAAAAATGCTTATTATATATTTTTCGTATACGAAAATTGTATGATGTGCATTTTTTCATAAACAAAAACACAAATTTGAGGTACAAAATTTTTAATCCCTTTTTTGGTTGAAAATTTGCTTTTATTCCAATTATGAATTTTACGAAAAAAAAAAATTTTGCATGTCTCTTGAAAAAATTTGACACTTTGTGTTTATAATAAGGTCCAGGATGATTTTTTCAACCAAAAAATCCAGAAATCACAAAAAGTGTTTTTTTTTCTGTAAACACGATTTTTATTTTTTTGTTTTATTTGCTAAATTAAAAATAAATTTGTAAGAAAACAATCCTTTTTTTCTCAACCACCGAAATTTTCAAACTAAAAATTATCTAGTCATATACAAAAATTTTCAAACTAAAAACTTTCTAGCCATAAACAAAAAATTACATTTTTCTAAGAAAAGTTTATCATACAATTTCATAGACTGCAAAAAATGCTTATCACGATATTTTCATACAATTTTGGGGATAAAAAGCCTGATAAAAAACTCAAATTTTATTTGCATACTATGAAAAAATCAATTTGCTATTTTCATACACTTACTTTTGCTCTATGAAAATGTATGAAAAAGTATGATAAGCCTTATTTTAAATGTATATATATATATATATATATATATGAGATTGTATGATAAATGTTTTTGTCAACTCGGGTTACGCTTTAACATATCTTGTGTATACAATTACGATCACAGTTCCTCTTTCAGCATAGGGAATTAAAATTCAACAAATAGTTAAAAAAGGAAGTTAAAAGTCAAGACAAGGAACTCAAGTACAATAAAAACAAAAAGTAACTATAGAGTTGTACAAGAGTATAAAATCAAAACAAAAAAGATCGTTCGAATGGAAGTCATTTTATATTCCCTTCATTTAAACAAAGTGGAATAGACGTGATAACGTTGTTCTGCCAGGTTGCTCTTTTGGATGCTACTTTCTTCGATGAATTAAGTCATTATCCTGAATTGAAAACTTATGAGATTCGTTTCGCAAACGACAGTTTTTGTCTGGATATAAAATTAATACAAAATATCGAAGAAATCAGCTAACATAACAGCAGCCGTTAATTTTTGCATTCATCCTTTAAAAAACAACGTTCTCACGCCTATTTATCTTTATTTATTTGAAGAAGAATATATGAGTTGGATTTGAACAGTAAACTTTTCTTTTTGCATGCCCCCTTAGTGACAAAGGTAAGAAATTGTCTATGTTGTATTCAAACTATTTCTTGTGTTGATTTTAATTTCCGTTTAATTTCTTTTGAAATGTTTGTTGAATTTGAACAATTACCTCTTATTGAACTTGAGGGTTTGAATGACTTTGTTGGATTACAAAATTTAAAGAACGTAGCACGGTGCGCATTATCTATTCTAACTTGTATTCTATTCTCTATAATAAATCGTTAAGAAAAAAGATTGCAGTTAATTTTGTTTCACATATGAAACTGTTTAAAATGTTTATGCTTAGCAGTTTTACTTACAATTCTGGAGTCAGACCATATACAACAGGCTTTCCAAACTTCATTTTCAGAACAAATAGTGGTGATGATTATCGCCGAGAGAAAATGAAAAAAAATCTTTCGCTTTCTGCGATTTTTCAGACTCGATTGAAACAAATTGTTCATCTTGTCAAGCAGATTTCACATCAACGGCAATAAATTTTGTAAACGTATCGGTGAAACAGTTGAAACATATTGCACATCGAAATAAAAAAGGTGCTCATTTTTTGAAAAGTTATGACGCTCGATGTGACGCCCGTTGAGCCTCAGAGTTTGAAAAATTCAAAAACCTGGTTTGACAAAAAATGCTTATCATATTTATTCATACAATTTCATTGAGTAAAAATAAGTGTATGAAAATAGCAAATTAAGCATTTTTGCATACTATGGAACTGTATGATAAGCATTTTTTCCATATTGAGAATATACAAAAAAAATTGTTTTGAATTTTTGTGGTTAATCCGAAACACTAACTACGGATTTTTTTGTCATAAGAAAACCTAGGGTGTAACCAGCAGTTAGCAAGCAGATAAACTGCATCTGGTCATTTCAGCCATTTGAGTTAAATTTAACATTTGTATACCAAAAATGTAAGTTTTTATATATGGCTTGATTATTTTTGGTTTGAAAATTTTGATGTTTGGAAAAAAAGGCTTGTTTTTTTACATAATTATTTTTGTTTTAGCAATTGAAAAAATTTATAATAATTGTGTTTACAAAAAAGCACTAAATTGTGATTTTTGCATAAACAAAATAAATGTAAGGTAGTTCCGGACAACAATGTTTTAGAGGCAATTTAAAAAAATTACAATTAAGCGAATTTTGTGTTAAAAGGTCGAAAAACGAGATTAAATATGCCATTTCAGAAAAATTTTGCAAATTTTTGCAGTTTTTTGTATCAAAAATTAAGGGTGCAAGAAGCTGCGAGAAAACGTATAAATCCAATCACGATGTCGGATGAGCCGAAACTTGGGTTGAGCTTTGTTCCCATCAAAAGTCGGGACTCGAAAAATTGTAATCGATGGAACGAAGTCATATAAAACTGCACAGCCCTTTCTTTAGCAATTTGATTGCATCAAACTTTCCGGCTGTGAGAAAACAAGCACATGATTTTAGAGAAGACTGCTCGTATAAAACGGCAAAGACCGAAATGTTCCGACTGCCTCTTTATTGGTATGAAATAGTATCAATAAACTTTTGAATAAAGTTTTCGAAAACTGTACCATCACTTCCCTTGCTTCAATTCCTTTTGTAGCAATTTTCAAAATGGAGGATAATTTTCCCAACATAAATGTTTGTGTAACCCTTTCAGCATCATAAAGAAATCTTCATAGCTCGCACATACTTGTATGAAACTTTTTTAAATACTGAGTTTAAGGAGTCGATAATTTCAGTAGCGCTTTAAATAAATTTTGATTGAAACAAAAAAAAAGTCGGAAAAAATTTTAATCTTACATTTAATTACTATTACAGAAATTTAGCCTTATTAGGCGGAAAACAATGACAAATCGTTTTTCTTAAAGTTTTTCTGAGGTTACTCAGTTTCCACTCATCTCTATAAAAACAAACTCTAAGACACACAAGAACAGACAGTTGACATGCAAATAGAACAGGTTATTGCAAACACTGTTAAAACTGCAAAATACAGATAAAAGTCCTTAGATCAAAATCAAATTTCTTCAAACTTTTTTGTATTAAAGAAAGAAATTTACTTTATCTGGAGTTGATAAGCCCATAGGTCATTCTGAGCTTGAAAGCACAATAATTTAAAATTCGCTGTTTCACACTATGGAATTTGATTAGTTTTTTTTTCAGAATTCAAATTACAGCTAAAGGTTTTGAATATGATACATCATTTAAAAAAAATGAAAGATTTCCATGAAACTTATCTTTTTTTGTACGAATATTTTTGACATAAGCAAAAGAGATTTTAGCTAACACATTATTTTTTAAAATAAATTTTGCAAGGCAGCTGATAGACGTTTCTGTTTTGCAGCATATTTTCACTTCGGCGAAACTTTCTTTTCGTTTTATCGGTAAGTTTGCTCTCATTGTTTCGACCCTGAAAATGAGGAGCAACTTTGTCTTCGGAAGTTTTAGTTATCTTTTTCTTTTTTTTTCCGCGCAGCATCTGCTGGAACCACAAAATTCATTGAAATATTCAGTCACGACTTTGGAACATTTTGACCGAATTTTGTTAAACCGGCTGAAAAAAAATAGCCTTATGTGGTTATCTCAAGATTTTTTTTGTCGAAAAATGTAAAAGTAAACATCAAATTGTCCTCAATTGAAACCAGGGGCGGATTTTTGGGGGGGGGGGGGGACGGAGGTTGCGGACGCCCAAAGGGATTCGACCCCCTGCCGACCCAAAGAGTCCCCCCTTTGATACTTTTTGAGAAATCCATTTTTGGCCGACCGACCCTAAAATTTTTCTAAAGGCGCCTTCGGCGCCAATGTATACTAACTTTGAGGGGGAGCGCGCGCCAAAAAAAACGCAATTTTTTTGTCAAAATTTTTCAAAAAGTGCCCAAAAACGGCTGGCTTTTTTTACCTGTTTTTTCAAAAAATTGCCTGGGGAGAGCTCGGAAAATCAATCTGATCGACCTAAAAAAAATAGGTCGTCAAAATTTTCGAAACATTTTTGAAAATTCACCCCCCCCCCCCCCCCCCCTCTCGAGAAAATCCTAGATCCGCCCCTGATTGAAACCAATTTGTTATTCTATTATCACGTTGATTTATTAATTAAATATTAAATTAACTCAATTAAGTCAGGTACACAATAGCAGGAGTTCTCTCAGATATTCAGAATTACTTCAAAATCAACGACACTCAGGGGGGACTAATCCAAACAGTGTTTATCCTTGTCTTCATGTGTTTTGCCCCCCTATTCGGCTATCTGGGGGACAGAATCACCCGCAAGTGTATTCTCATTGGGGGAATATTAGCATGGTCTTTCTTCACTTTGATGGGGTCATTTGTGGGTCCGAATAACTTTTGGGTTTTCCTTTTATTGAGGGGATTAGTAGGAGTTGGAGAGTCAAGCTACATCACAGTATCGCCTTCTCTGATTGGTCAGTTTTCAATTTAATATATAGTTCATCTTTTCGAGTTTTTCTGGTTTTTTTTTAATAATTAAATAATTACCTGTTAATAATTAAATAATGCTTTCAAATAATTACTTGTTATTATGACTTTGTTTACTTTTTTTAAATAAATGCTTCCATTTTTGGATCTCATCATATGATTTTTTGGGAACCAACTAAATTATTAGCCTCGTGTTTTTTTTTGGTTAGTAAACTTTATCACAGCCTAAACGGAGATAATGACGAAACTTTCTAAAGTATATTTTTGTTTGATCAGTTTCGAAAGATTGAGAGGGGTCTATATGGTAGTTCGGTTTATTTGCCTTTTTTGATACCCCAAATGAAAGTCAGAATGGGGTTAAATGTGAGAAAACTAAAAATCCATTTCACTCGTTTTTTAGGATTTGCAAAGGAAACTTCAAAAAAATTGGGTTTCGATGCCGAGATTTTAAATAATCAAAAATTAAAAACAAAAAATCAAAATCTATAATTCAATTAAAAAATGAAGGCAAAAAAACCACCCATACCGCTCAAACTTCTCAAATCTTGCTGGAAAACCGCTCAAACCGCTCATATCTTGAGCAGTTTTTGAGCGGGATCTCGACCCGGGTGTGGTTGAACTACTATGTGATTCTCGTAAAGAAAGGTGATCTTATTTGTTAACTTATCTTTTAGGCGACCTCTTCTCCGAATCCGAAAGAATAATTGCTCTCTCCGTCTTTTCTCTCGCGTCTCCATTCGGAGCCGGATTCGGATACATCCTTGGATCCCTCACAACTTCGATTGCGAAGGATTCCGGTGCCGACGATGACAGTGCATGGAAATGGTCTCTACGGATCACTCCCATTCTAGGGCTCATTTCTAACCATTCCACCCTCTCCCCATTTTTCATATGTTTCTCAATTTATTGATATTTTTCGTTATTATGGGTAAAATATTGGAGTAATTTATGGAGAAAAAAAATGTTTTCAGAATTGTTCTTTTGGTCACCATGCGAAGTTTCATCAGATTAGGTTTATGTTATTCTATGCTTTCATAATTAATATTCAAATAGGGGATGTGGGAAAGCGGAAAAGAGCCCATTTTAGGTGTAATCGCGGTTATTCTGACGGTGCTTGTCGTCCCGGAACCAATGAGGGGGTCCCGGGAGACATCGGCTGATAACGGAGTGGAACTAAAAATGAAGACGTCAATGAAAGATGACGTGATCTACTTAATCACGGGTTGTATTTCAGTAATTTGACGTATCATTTAACCTAGAATGAGCAGTAATTGCCCGGATTAACTACCTAATTAACTAAATGCAAGTTTATGTGGGTGGACGTATTTCAACTTGTAGGTAATTCAACAAAAAACGGACACTGAACAAAGAAATTGAAGAAAATTTGGCTCCAAAATGGAATTTTTTCTCTAGGTTGAATACTTTTTTATTTCTTTATTGTTCGATTTTGCATTAAAAAACTAAAAAATACTCCAGAGCTTCAAAAAGGACGTAAAAGTAAAATTAAGGCAAAAAAACTTCAACGACGTTATTCTCATTTAAAAAAAAGCGAACCTGAATCTTTTAATTTCAAATTCAATTTACGAAACATATCCCGCTGTTCCAGAATAAGACTGCAGTTTTTGTGACACTGGCTTGCACTGCAAATGTTTACGTGGTTGGTTGTCTTGCATTTTGGGCACCTGTCTTCATCGAAGAAGCAAATTTAGCTCAAGGTAGGTTTCTTGCTGACTTGTACTATTATAAAACGTGGTAAATCGTGGTGATGGGGAGCGGTGGTGAAGTGGTTACGTCTCCGCCTCTCAATCGAAAGGTCGGATGTTCGAGGCCCACCATGATCCGTGCTCGTTGCTTGAGGGTGAGGCAACATTACCCAGCCCAGAAAAATAACCAAAAAAAAATTGCATGTAGTTCTTAAACAGGGGCACAACAGCGGTTCGCCGTGATGAGCTGTACAGCTCTTGTGTTGGTCCTTTCCCTCGTGGATAAATGGTCTTAAATCATTATAAAACATTACATTACACAGAAAATTTCAAACATAAAAACGCCATTATAAACAAATTATTTGTAATATTTTATAAGTTTCAGGAATTCAAAATTAATATCTTTTGATTTTAGAAGTTTTTTGTTCTGTTTTTGTACGTTTTTTTTTCAGGCGAAAACCCCAACAACGCAGTAATATCATTCGGTTTTGGTGCAGTCACATGTGCAAGTGGGGTACTCGGAGTTGTATTGGGTGCATTTACCGCCCGATTCTTCCGAAGACGAACATTGAATGCGGAGCCGTTAGTTGGCGCTTACGGACTGATACTAGCCGCACCTATGGTCTTCATGTTCGCTGTAATCGTGGAATACAACACAATAGGGATCTTTTCCAATCATTTCCGGCCTTTACTTTTTCTTATATGGTTTTTCTGAAACGCTTTTAAAGTGCTTAGCTTTTTGAATTATTTTCTAAATAGATGCGTGAACAAGTGAACAAAACTTTTTTTGCATTTAAAAATTGCAGTGTGAAAAAGTCTGAACCAACAATTATTTTTAATCTGCAAACGAATAAAATACGGAAAAAGTCCCTAATAGCTATATGGCCAATTGTGATATTGGGCGAAATTGGTCTGTGCCTAAATATGGCACTTGTTCCGAAGATTTTGATCGATTGTGTTGTGCCAAACAGAAGGTCACTTGCATCTGGTAAGTTGAATTTGTTTAGGGTCACTTCGAGTAAAAGGACGAATATGAGTTACTAACCTCTATCTGAGAACCGCCATTATAATTCAGATTTGAAATTATATGTATTTTCGGTTCAAACCATCCCACTTCTCCAAGTATAATTTTTTACTTTCAAAAAACGGTAATTTGTTAACAAATGACTCTCCAACACGAACATATATGGTTTTGCCTTGCATGAAAATCAGTGTTTTTGTGCCCGCTCCAATCTCTCAAAATCTGAAAAAAAAACTAAAAATGCGAAAAAAAATTCAGAGAAAAAACTGAGGTGCTTCTAAGGCGATGGAGCGTGGAGCGTGTACAAGCGTGGACGGTAAGAAAAAAGAACCGTTTTTCGGCCATTGGGATTATAGCCATATGAAGCGTTTACTTCATCTCAATTTTTTCACCCTTGTTTCACACACTGTTTACCGCTCTCCTAGGAATCTCAACTGGATTCACTCACATATTCGGAGATGCTTACAGTCCCTTCTTCGTGGGATTGTTAGCTGACGTCACTTATGGAAGCAGTTCCCACTACAACCAGTTCAAGGGACTCCAACTAGGTGTGCTCACTTGTCCCATTGCGAGCGCCATAGGTAAACATTTCGGGAAATTTACTCTTATGCGACTATTCATCTTAGATTTTATCATAAAGTTTTTAAAAAAATCCAATTTTATCTAAATTTAATTGTAGTTTTGAATGGGCAATGGTATTTTTTTTGAACTATGAGGATCGCTTGAAGTGTTTTGTATATATATCAATTAAAAATTGTAGAAATGTTTTAGATTTTTTATCCGGCAAGCAACACAACATTAGATCACTACTGGTCAAAAATTGAAAATTGCAAAAAAAGGCTTTTTTCTCTGCAACATAGTGGCACTTTATTTGTTCCAGTCGAAAGATTGAGAGAGAAAAAAGTAATTGGAACATTCAATGCAGGAAATAATTTATCTCACAAATCTTTTTTCCAGCATGACAGTTTTTTGTGCAGAGTATTTCTTGCCGACTTGCAGGTGGTAACTTGCTGGGAGCCATCACGTCTGATGCATTCTCAAAGAGACTATTTTTTTGCATTTGAAATCGGAATTAACCAAGCTTAAGTCACGTCAAGAAAAAACATGCTAAACAGAATAAGTAAGCTTTTGTGAGCGGTTTTTACATGATTTATCTTGGAAAACGGATAAGTTATCTAATTTTTGTGCACCTAGGGCTACATCAAGCGCACAAAAAATTAAATTTTGCACATGCAAAAAAGTTTTCAACTTGCTTCTCTGAGTGCAAATTTCTTATTGCGCTTGAAAATATACAAACCGAAGCATTTCGGGCAATTTCAAAACTACTTGATACAAGTTTTGGTTTTGCCATCAAAAAATGCTATGAGCCATAGTGTTTCCATGAAAATCTTATGAACAGCATTTTTTGCAAAAAGAAAGTTTATTTCTTATTTCTGACGATACACCAATTTTTATGACAAATAAGAAAATTTTCTTTAAATTTCCATAACACCATTTTAGCAAATGTCTGAAATCTGTATGATTTTCATATTTTCGTAGACTTTGTTTCTGAAACTGTATGAGTAGCATTTTTGGTCTATGAGGTCAACCCGGGAACGGATTTTATTACCAAATTTGTAAGTTCGAAGCAAACAAAACATTTTCCTGCAAGGTCGAGGAGACTTACGGAAAAACTGAACTTGACGTTTTTTTTTATTATTTTGAATACATTAGCTTTTTTTCCTTGTAACCTGTTCAAATTGTACGATGACCCAAGAATATCCAGTTAATTACAAATTAAAATTTTAAATAAGGAGAGCCGGTTTCAGTGCAGGTAGCAGATAGTTTTGTAATGTTATTCAAAAATATACAAAAAAGGACTAAATTTATTTTTCACTTTCGATCACTCTATTTGATTTTAGACAAATTGGAAACTTTCGGCTTTTTCCTTTTCCCCCACAATCGCGTTATCAGATTGTTATGAAAAATGACATGCGGACTAATTAAACCACGACAAACATATTCGATCGTCATTCTTACTTAGCCTTGTAAAACTACTCGTTGCATCATAAAAAATAAAAAAATAAAGATAATGCGAAGCGGGGGAGAAGCAGGAAGAAAAAGAGCCAAACATTTTGTAAACAACTACTTTTGTAACTTTTCTATATGAACAGAACAGTTCTTAACCTTTCTTAAGCCCCAATTTTCAAGTTTTTTTCCCAAACTTGCTCTTCGCATTTAGCGTACGCCTGGTCGTTCAAAACTAAAAAAAATCTTTTGATTTCTTACTTCCTCAAACAAGTTTTCTTTGCTCAATGCAAAAATTTTTCGAAGACTTAAACGCACCAGTATAACTAATTTAAGCTCCGAATTTTATCAGTTATCACTCCTATTAAACAATTAAATCGATAAAAACAAATTGGTAATGAATTCAATTATCCACAAATCTTTTCAATTATAGGAACCGCTGCTTTCTTCGCTTGTGCAATTGCATACGAAGGCGACCACACGAGAACAGCCGAGATTGTTGACGTGGCCAGACGAGGTAGAATGGAAAATGGCCAAGAAAGGGTGTCGCCGGAAGTAAATTAAAGAGCTACTATTATTGAAAAAGCTACTCATGTATTTACAAATGTCCGTTAAAAGATAGACGGGCGAATATTTAATTATCAAACACTAATTAGTCTACTGATTTCAACGAAAAAACCTTTAGCTCATACAAAGCTTTGAAATCTGTCAAAAATGAGAACACTATTAATTTTTCATATCCATTAACATTTATACCACAACTTAATAGATTTATCCGTTCATTTGAATTAACTAAAGCTAAGCAGTTTCAGTTTCCAAAATGGTTCTCAAAACTAAATAAGCACCAGTCATTTAAACAATTTAATGTGGAAGTCAAACAAAAAATCAAAATCAATATCTTTGTTTCACCTTCACCTGGACCATTTTCACAAAATTACACTGAAGTCATTGATCATTTGACATTTCTGCTCAAGTCATAGACTTGCAACTGCGGTGTTTTGTAATTTGTGAACGGATTCAGCAACAAGGGCTCTCCTCTGAACTTCTTTGGTTCTTTAGTTTTCTTCGGTTGTTTCGACAAATTTTTATAATCTTTATTGACTGTCTCTGGATTCCAGAGACCCACACACATCAAATTGTGATCATATACAGTGCCCAGTTCGGCCTCAAAAAAAATATCAGACAAAAATAGGTGCCAGTATATTGATTGGAGCCAAATTGATCTGAAAATTTGATAACAGTTTAATTTAAATTTTATACTAGGATTGAAAGTACATCTGCAGGAAAACAGTTTTTGCTTTGTTATGTCATTTGTATAACAATTGATTCTTACACTTGTACTGAAACTACATTCTTTTTTGTTAGGTTCACTTCTAGCGATGCAAAATAAACAAAAAAACAATTGGGTTGCTTCATTTTCTTTGTATAATTTTTTTGGCTGTTTTTAAGCAATTTTCGATGTAATTGAAGTCGAAACATTTCGCGGGTTCATTTGGCCGAGACTTCGTATCATACAATTTCCATATGGGAAAAACTTCTTAACAAACAAATCATACAACTCCATAGGTACGGAAAATTTTATGAAATTTGTATGATGAGATTTTTTCTACACATGAAAAATGTATGACAAGTTTTTTTCCATAAACAGTTTTTTTCCTAAATTTTGTTTCTGAATACTTTTGGGTTGTGTTTGTAACCGAACGCAAGTGACAAGGACCTTGCTTTACTCATAGCTGGAGTCGCCAAAGGATGGACGGTCTTGCATTTACGAAGCATTAGCAAACGACTTGAATTGTCTTACAGCTGTCTTACAGAAAAGATATTACGAAAGTAACAACTTTTTAAATTCTAGCAAAAAATTTCAACGATGGTTAATTTTAAACTTTGAATTTGTAAAGTATCAGACATGTATCAAGGCATACAAAAACATGCCTTACAAAAAAAATAGGAGTTGTTAGCGTTTATGACGAAAGCTATAAGCGATAAAACCAACTTTAGTGTATCCAGGACAACGCTATTTGGCAAAAAAATTAAGTTTTAGAAAATGTTTGTTTGATTACAAAATTCGATATGCGGTTGAAAAAACAAAAAATATACTATGGGGCAATTTTTAAATACTTGGAAAATTTTTTGTTGTCGCCATCACAAAGATGCTAGTCATACAGTTTCCATTTATGGAAGTTTTATGCGAAAAATTTTTGACGAAAGTTTTTTTAGTACGATACGTCAATTTTTATGCTAAAACAAGAATATCTTTGAAATTTCGATGACACCATTTCAGCAAAATCAAGAAAAAAAATATTATTTTTTCATACACTTAAATAATGAAGTTGTATGATAGCAATTTTGGTCTATGGTGGTCAATCCAGCCACTCGACTTGTTTTACTATCAGGTTTACAGTAGGCTTTGTACGTGTTACGCGATAATTACATATACAGTTTTTGCAAAGATAAGGGTGCGTAGCCTGTAAGCTACCGTGTACAAAATTAGATAACCATAATGTTAGCGTGCAAACAAGTAAAGCAAAGATTTGCTACAGCTTGATAAAAAAAAACGTGACAAGCGTGATTCACGTGCAGTGTGCTATTCTGTAACAAAACTTTTTCTTACCTCCTTAATTTTTTCGAACTTGGGCTCAATATGAAATATTTGAAGTTAATGAATATTAAATTACAGAAATTTATTGAAATTATCACAAAAAAAACTATTCGAATTGACTTGATTCCCTGTCTGCCATCTGAAGCAATTGTAGTTGCTCTACATTAGCAAAATTATTGTTATTTGATGAATAGCATAAACAACTTCGTAATTTTTTTTAAATTTGATGCACAATACATACTGCAGAATAAGTTTTAACAAGGCCAAACTGTGCTTTTTGCGAAATGTAAGCGGATTCCGCGAAAAGGACGCTCCCTTTGCTCTCCTTTTGTTCTTTCAATTTTTTTGATACCTCCGACAAAAATAAATTAAAACATGTTTAAAGACTTATCTTTGGAATCCAAGAACATACAGACACACAATTGTAAGCTTATCTAGTGCACAGTTTGGACTCGTAATGTTGGTGCCATTTTTCGCTAGAACTTGTCTTAGCTGCCGTTCCGGTCAAACTTTTATAGAAAAAAATAAATATGAACTTTTCTGTAACCCAACGTTGTTGAATTATTTTAAATTTTTATGTTCAAACAAAGTGTTCATAAAGTTATGTGAGATGAACAAAACTGGAGCCAGAGACAGAATTTTGCTCATGAATTTTCGACATCATTTTTTTTCTAAAATAATCGCCGCCACACACTAATGAAAGTTCAAAGTGACAAGTTTAGCATTTGGTAACGTATTGAACAGAATAAAAAGCATGCCTCCGTTCAATTTCAATTTCTAAGCCGGATTCTGAGCTCAGCTAATTCGATCAGAAGGTATGAAGACACTTCCAGTTTTTTAAGTGTTATTATAACGCTGAACGTTTACGATAAAAGGTATGAAAAACAAATGTGTTCTCAATAGTTAAAATGTTCACCATGCAAAATTTCATAACGTTCTGACAACGTAAAAAATGTTTACAAAACTAAGTTTCAAATGTGGAGGGAAAGTGGAAAAGAGTCCAAAAATTATTTTCATGATTTTATGAAAAATTTCAACTCCTTATCAGCAGCCAGTGATTTCAATCAAAAATCGAATTAATACTTTTTTTATCAGAATACTTTTTGTGAGACCCACAACTTGCATTTTTTTAAAATTATGTCTGACTGGATAACCAAAACTTAAGATTACCATATGCTTTTACCTCTCAAGCATGGGGTAATCTTAAATTTTGGTTAATCAGTCAGAGTACTACCGTCGCGAGTACTAAAATTGCAAATTTTCCA